CAAATAAATGTGATGCTTATTACAACTTTGATTCCTTAGTAAAGGATAAACAATTTGAATTTCTGTTCAAGAAAACATTCAACACATTATTTTCTATGAACAATGGGTTAAAGTACACTAAACAACTGCTTCAACTAGGAGAAAAGCTAGGATCTGTGTTGTATGCAATAAAAAACTACATCCACTGATATCAAAATTAGGGTAATCTATATGCTAACCAATTCAAGGAAACCCCCATGAGCCTCCTAAGTCCAAGTCCAACCTTACCTTGCCTCACAGCAAACAACTTACCAGTGTGGTAACCCAACATAAACTATCTTGGCACATATAGCTTGTGACATCACTTCCAATTATAGTCACTCTTAGTAATGCACTGTACTTTTAAAGTATTACTGACTACTGAATTTTAATTTATATCAACTACACCAAAATACATATTCATTAAATATGTTTCATATCTTCTTGATTATAAATACCTGTTACATCTACACATTGGCTTTTACAGGCAAATTTGATAGTTTTGTTGTCACATTGCTCAAAGTTTGTTTCAGAAGTAAAGTTTGTTTTCAGAGCTAATTGTGTTTCTAAATTCTTTCCCAATATTCTAGTGAAAACAATCTCTTACTGACATTGTAACAATCTCTGGGATAACACTTCAGTGAAGTACAATAACAATGTTCCAGTTGCAGAAGTTTGCCAGAGGTGTGTCACTTCTCAACCACTCTTCTCTCCAACAATAAGGTATCTTTAAATATACAGAAAATTGTTATGGATGAAGCAACTGGGTAAGAAATGTGGTGACAGGGAGCGGGGTAGGCAAACATGGCAACTGGGAGGGGGTCCAGGGGTGGAGCCCCCATATAAGAAAATTCAGTGATTGAGTTTCCAGCTGGGGAAATAGGATGATTGAGAGGAGGATGGAATCACCAGCTGGAGAAATACTGCAAAAGGGCAGGGATCTAGCTGGGTAAATATAGTGATTGAGAGGGAGTTCAGAGTCAGAGCCCCTGTATTGGGAAATAATAATTATTTAGGGGTTGGTGTGCTTCAGTTATATTATGTTTGATTATATTTGCTTCTAAATTACCTCCTTTGTGCAGAGAATGACTGGGATGCCATCCACTGGCAGTGTGGGATTTGAACACAAGATTGCTAAACAAGAATGTTACCACTGCACCACACAGTCCACAGCAAATACACTGATTGGGAAGTGGTTTGGGGCTTTTGGTTCAAACAGTGATCTTTCTGATAGTTTGTGCATTCTGGATAGGTTCATTTGTTTGTACAAAACTGTGTCAGAGCTTCCATGGCTGAATCTTAGCTCAGGTTTTTCTATTTTCCATTTATTCATCACCTAAAATACAATTCTTGGCTTAGATTTTTCATTTTTCCACTTTCTTTTACTTTTTAAAATGCTTGCCCACACATTTCACCTAAAACCCTTGATTCTCCACAGGAACCCCTTAGGTGATAGCATGAGTTGGTGACTCTGATGGGTACAGTCTTCTTGTTCATATTTACCAGACACTGTACTAACCATATATGATTATAGATTATGAATAAAACGCTTGCTAATTATAGAAAATATAACATCTTATTAATCTCATTATCATTCTGAAGACTATCCTAATAGATTATTTTTAGGAATTTATCCTAAAAAGGCAAAATAAAGATTTTATTTACTAATCTGCCCTGTAATTGCAATATAAATTATATTCTCTGATGATTATCATAATAACTGAAATTGTCATATATTTTTCCAGACAATCATTAACCCCTTGTATGTGTACTGGAAGTCAAATCCAGTCAAAGAACCCAAATTGAAAACATACTTTAAGACTGAGAGAGCATGAAAAACATCCAGTAAAGAACAGATTTACATACCCTCATCTTCTTCCATTTCTGTCTCCACATTTGTAAAAGTAGTGACATTTTCCAGGTTGAATTCTGAGATGAGGTTCAACCCTGACCGTTCAGAGAATGGGAAAAATCTGGCCAAGAACAAAAGGATTCGTCCACAAAATACTGTGTTTTGGGAGCGAGAAAGCCTACGAAGTAGATCTGAAAATTGGAAAAAGAAAAAGAAATTAAATATTCTGCTCAGCATCAAACTTTTATGAACCTTCAATAGCAAGGTCTATTAAGATGATGATGATGATGATACCTTGATGTAAAAAATATAAACAAATAAATAAATAAAAATATATACATAAAAATAATATCAACAATAATCATAATATTACTGACTCATAGCCTATAGATAATGTGGGTTTCACATGTATAGCCATCTTGGGTGCACCCCTCTGGGTGATGCATGCATTACATTTTACATATCATTTGTCTGCTATGCCTAGGAGATGTCAAGCACCAAAACATGACGCTCTCTTGCTACTGATGTGAACCAGTAAGTAACTGTCACTCTAGTTACAAGATCAGTCTCCTCATGTCAACTACTCATATTAGCTTTTGGCGCTCAGCCAGTGTGACTGTCTTGTAGTATGACAGACAGAAGGGAAGTATTGAATCTATGGTGGCAGCAGTCTTGTAAATCACTACATACAATCTATTATTTTGTAAAAATAAGATTCGTGAAAATGAGTTTTTTTTTTTCAAATAAAAACATATTTAATCTTGTACACAGTGTAATATACCTCATATACTGGAATGGATTCTAATGTACATAATCACACTACTACAGATCCAATCTAACAACTAATACAAACATCTTCCATCTTGGAGTATGCAAAAACATTAAAATCATGTTTTGCATACAAGTGATGATGATAATAAAGATAAAAAATCACATCACTCTGTAGGTGTTATGTACCAACCACATCTGAAAAAGGCCCTGGAGGGAAGCCCAGTCGCCTACACATACTCCCTGGAGCTGAGGCCACATAAACCCCATATTGTCTAGAGGTGATGGGTTAATACCAATAACCACAAATAACACTTACCTTCAAGGAAACTAGGGGTGGGGGGGATAAATAAATAAATAAATAAATAAATAAAATAAAATACAGTCACTAACCATTACACATGCGAAGAACGCTGGTCTTGCATGGAGCGAAGAATGTGTCTTCCTTCCATACACTGACATTGCTTTCAACAAATGTAAATAATTTTTCACACTGAGTTATGGTCAGCATGTCAAAGGAATCAGAGAGGACCAAAACAGGAAGTGTTGGAAGACATAATTCATTTCTGACCAGCTCTATGCATATCTGAAATATTAAGACTTGTTTTAAAAATGTTTATTACTATGGAAACCTCTCCTTATAAGCAATATAAAAGGGATATATACTTGATCATTTAAGGAGAAGAAGAAAAAAATTACAAGAACACTGTGTAATGTAAAAAAAAAAAAAAAAAAAAAAAATTAGAACACTAAAGCTAAACTTCTCACACTATTCTTGTCTTAAGAAACTAAAACTATAACAAAAAAGGAATGACAGGAGAAATTAATAAAGTGAATACTGTAAACCAATATTTTACTCTAATTTCTAAATTTTCTTTTTTTTTTCCTATCTGAAATATGAGTAAAAATGTTCATAACAATAATAATGTTGACTTCATATCACAACAGAAGAACTAATGAACCAATCTTGTGAGATAAAAATAATACAAATCAGTGGTAAGGTTCCAATATTAACCTGTTGGATCCAGGTAATTAACTACCTACATGTGTCCCAAAATCCAAGCTTGCGTGAGTGGCGACTCTCATGGGTGGCTTGTAAGCTCAACCCATACAAATGTGTATGATGTCAAGATTCCTTGCCTCCACTTTGTAATGTTACAATCTCTTTCTGCATTAATTTTTTTTGTTTATTTGTTATTTTCCAGTCTAATTTTCTGTAATACATCCTGCACTACCAATGATGGTGAGCAGGAACAGGATCCTACTCATGGAGATGGTGTCCTTCCTGGTGCCAATGCTCTTACAACCATAGTTCATGGGTAGTACATTCCATCCTTTTACCAATGGAAATAAAGCAAGATTAAATACCCACTGTGTCTAATGTTTGTGCACTCATGGTAAGTCATCAATGTCTCCCCAGCCTTATGCTGATTTTTTCATGACCACAATCCTCTCATCCCAGCCTTCAATCAGATTTTTCCCTTCACCTGGCCCTTTTCCATAACATGACACTCACGTCATCTGGATTGGGGGTGTGATTCATTTGAAACAGAAATGTTTGCAATATATGCAGCTGCTGATCTAATAGTATGTAGACTGGGTATCTGTGATCTCAAACACAGAGATGCAGCAATGCCAACAAGTGCTACATCAAAGATGAAAATTCACCAAAGACAGACAAAATCCTCAAGCATGAAATAATGTCTGAGCCTGCTATACAGCTATATCAAAGAGGCATCCAGACCTTCTCGGAAATGTGGAGATAAGAACTATATACATTTATCTCCCTCAGAACTGTGGTTTTCAAACTGTTAGGAAGCCTCTTCTATTTGCAGCTATGAAGAGAAGCACATAGGGATGCCATGGCATACTTTGAACATGATGTAGACTACATGTAGTGATGCCATAACTAACTTTGGCCACAATGAAGAGAGGGGTTTTATTCACAGCGAGTTTAATGTCACCCACATGACAAAACAGAAGACAAGGGGATGGGCAAACAACCAATACCATCTGTTAAAAACACCAAGATGGCCAATCCACCTTGTTAAATAGATTCTGAGCAATAACAAGCCCAATCCTAGCATTAATATGTTAATTTTTGCATGAAACATCTGGATTAGACAATAGAAATAGAGGTGATCTATATATAACAAGAAAAATAGGAGACTTACTGATGTTACTGCTTTGATGGTGTCTATCTCTGTCAATTCTCCATTGATCACCGTCTTTGTTACGTAATTACGGACAGCAGATTCCACACAATGTTTTGTTGTTTCACTGTGAGGAAAAATATAAATAATTAGAAGAAAATGTGGAGGAGGATCAGGTAGCTTCTGTACTACATTTCCATCCACACCTTACAAAAGGACTGGTTATCTTATATGGAAATTTCTAATATGACAGTGGAAAACACCAAGTCCTTTTATCAAGTACAGTTACCAAACACCCTCACAGCCAATACTCCTAATAGTGATGTTCTTATATTCTTAGAGTTCTAGCACTGTCCCTTATCATAAAGAATCATAATCTATACTTCTTCTGGACTATGTGAAAATATAAATACAAACATGCATATGTACATATGCATATACAAGACAACCAGAATATACTGTAATCAATCACAACTGGTTTGATATAGATGTGTTGACAGCTATAAGCAGTGACTTGAACTATATATTGACTATATTATTTTTAGTAAATATAAAAACAATTCAAATTATAATTCATACAGAATATTACCTTATACAGAAACCACAATGGCACTGACATATAAACTAATTAGCTGTGGCTACGTTTATGGTATTTTAATATGATGTATATTGCCGATTTTTCTGGGAGTTTGGGTCACACGTGTGCAATGTGGAATTCTTGAACTCTGCTGTAAATACAGTAATGAATCAGTCACTATATTGTCAAATACAGGGGGTTATGCCCCCTGTGACCACCCTCCTCCCCAACCCACACCCAGGAAAACAAAGAAGCCACTACTTATTCATGGCAGGAGAAAGCATCGGATAGACTCAGCATCAAATGTTGGCTGCCTCTGCCCTGATGTGGGTTGAGAGAAAATTCCACACTGTGTGTATGTGACCAGAACTCCCACAAAAGAGTCAATAGACATCATATTACATTAATGTAAATATAGTCACTTCAAAACTAATTTGCAGAAGTGAAGCATAACAACAGAATCACATAATAAAGTCAAAATAATGACATTCTATTACCAAAGCCATAGTACCATTGTGCAAAAAGATGGATTGTATTGCTAATTACTGTCCCTGTGGGATAGTTATCTTTGATATATCATTACTATTTTGACATTACCCAGAACAACAAAGTTAAGAAATTATATCAATAATAGTTATGATCATGATAATAATAATGATAATATCAAAAATAAATAATGATAATGATATGCAAGCATTTTACAAATTAATTTTCTTTGAAAATAGAGCCACCTTTTAACATAAACAATAACCTCACGTTCTATTTATCTACACTGCAGACAACACACTATCATGAACATAACAAACATAAGTAAAGACGGTTTAATTTCTCGTGTTAATGTTTTATGTGAAATTATATGTCACAATGTGTTTCTCTCTATCAACAGGCATGCCAACAGGCATTGAGTTGGGTAATTTTTTAAACAGTTTTACATCTCTTTATTCTAAAATAACAAAAAAATGCCCAAATTAAAATTATCAAGCACACATTATATAATCTGAGTAAATCATTTAACTATGAAAACATGCTTTTGCTGATCTGGTATCACTTTCCTATGATAACCTTTTCCTCCTTCCTTATTCAGTGGCTTGGGAGGCCCTACAGAAAGTAGGGTTTTAAGGAGAAGGGGCAATACAAATAATACAGAACACACTTGATTTCTTCCTAATGTAAGACTTATTTTTTCATATAAAAATGTAACTTAAGTTATTTTCTAATGGTGTACTGTGTGCACAACGAACACAGTTGTATCCAGGCAGTGAAATTTCTATTATCAAATATATCTGGGAATTAATCAAACTGTTTAATTGAATTTGGAAGTCATTACACAGGTACTTAAACACCCTGCAAAAATCTATGACACCTGCTATTTTCAGTTGCAAGCCATATAGAGTTTTCAACACCAATATGTTCTGAGTATCCAGTTTATGGCAGGTAGTTTTGTGCAGTACTGTTCAAAAATGTAGCTGCCCACTTACAGTAGATAAAAAATATTCTTTTTCTTAACTCAAATAATGCTGAGATGACAAAAATAGACTGCATGAACACTGTGATTTTAGTTTACTAAGTTTGATTGCATACATATGGCACCACAAGAGCTTAGTCACCAAGAAGTCAATTACTAGTCCAACCTAATACCATTTTCCTTGATTTTTGGAAAAATTTATATTTTCTGTTTCTTATTGCTCTAAATACTGATAATAATATTATAATCTGAATAATAATCATGATAATAACAACAATATTAATAGCACTGGAAAAAAAAATAAAATAAAATTTGAGGAATGGGGATATCACATGAGGTCAGGTAGGTCTCCTTGATGACTAAATGTTCATTGAGCCATCCGCATGTCAACAAAACTCACAAAACAAAACTATAGTGGATAGTGCAATTATTTGGTGCTAATGTATTAATGTAAGTGAACTTGAAGTTACATTTCTCTTATTTTGATAAATTATCAAACATGCAAAATCACCAAGAAAAATATATGTTTTACATGAAATGGCCACCTGCATTTTTCAAAAAAATTATCTATATCACACCACCAACAAAACATTTCACTGGTTCATTACAATCTCTACACAAGTTTGAATATTATGCATGAACACAGCGACATGACTTCTGTTCCCAATGTCATTGGCAAATTGCATATTATTGCACCATACAGCAACATCACTAAATTTTATGGAGCATGAAATATGAATAGATCAAAGGAATTAGTGAAGTTATTGAAATGTAATATTCTTTCATATCATTTGGAGGAAAAGTATGGTATATCCATGTGAAATTATGAGTAAATAAATAGTAGCACATGTACTACTTTCCTGAGTGCTATCTTCTGAGATGCATTGTTTGACTTAGTCTCCAAGTGACTAATTTCAGCACCTTTATTTTAATATCCCGACATAAGCATGTCTTTCCGTACTTCAAATTTGATTTCCTAAATCTATTTGTGATGGTATTAGAAATCTCTTGGCAACATAGACTTCAGTGATTTCTGGCAACCATCCTACCGTTGGGATTGGGAGTCTGCTGCACTCGACGTGCTCTTGCGCGTCACCAGGCATATAGCCATACTTGGCAGAATGAGTGGTTTGTCATGACAGATATACACATGGCCTGGCAGTAATAGTTTCATTAGTCTGAATGTTGTTCTTCCACTTTAGTAGCACATCATGTTTATTTACTAAAATTTCATGTCTTCAATATTGTCTCAAAAAAATACACTCAATGATACAAGAAATAATATGCGCTGGGAGAGAATATTGTTAGAAATAAGGAAAAGTTCCCAGATTATGAAGATTCTTGGTTTATACAGTGATATTTACAGATTCCTAGGAGTACCCCCAAGTTGGAATAAGGACTTAGTCTCAGAGGAGTGCAGTCTTTTTGTCAACAACTTCCAGGAATTTTCTTGTATTAAAAATCCAGCAGTGTTATGGCCTTTGCTAGGGAAGTCTACAGCTTCGTATCTTGCCAGCACATGTATGTAGGCTTGCACAAGAGAATTGAGTCACTGCAGGCACCCATTTAATTTTTTGTTAAAGTAGCTCTGCAGATTTTTCTTCGTAATTTCGTCATTTTGAGTGTTTCATCATATTCCATGTGTGATAAGACAAAGCTAGGCAGAGAAATGTGAAATTAAATTTTGTTTAATTTTCCGAACAGACAAAAAGACTAATATGTTGCTGGAAAAAGTAAACTTACTTAATTTTTGATGAGAAGATGTCGGTAATAGATTGGGCATCATTATTCTCAATACAGTGAGGTAATGTGGACTGTACTTTCGTAAAAACTCGATGAAAAGTCAGTCCTGAATCTGCCATTGTTTACAAGCTTTCCGGGGACGACGATGCAGTAGATAATAAGATTTCTTCTGTGTCTTTTTAAAACAATACTTAATGCTGCTTATTCTGATTTCAATATAGATTTGATATTTTGATTGATTTTAATTTATAACAGTTTGCGTGTTCATTTTTGCTTATTAGGATCCCTGATTTATGATGCGGAATAAATCTGTTATGTCTAATATTGTGGTCTGTAGAAGAAAATGAATGCAAGTTGCATGGGTGACTTTTATAAAAATAATAAACCGAAACGAAATGGAATTGGTAACAATGAAAAAAAAACACACATTATAATAAATAAATTGCAGATTATTTCAGGTACAATTTTGCCGTGCTTATATCTATGTCCTTTACTTTTTGGTACCATGCATCACTTAGCAATAGTGTTTGATCGCTCAATGCCGTTGAGAGCACAGCTGTCCCCGTGGCACGTCATTCCAAGTGCATGGCGGTATGATCAAAGGCTATACACATTAAATACGCAGACTTAAATATGGTGTAACACCTTGATCTAGTTCGTTATAGCAACGCTTACAAAGCTCTTTACAAATGTGTAGTAATCGCTATAAGGGATTATTTTCGTAGGTCCTGTACAAAGCCAATCCCTTTTCTTTTGTCGGTCCTATACATATAGATTGAAGGCAAGGTATATATTTGATTAATGTGTATTTTCTGGTGAGGACCACGCTAATAACATATCATACATCCTAGGGCAATCTTGACCCACGCTTGATCACTACTAGGAAATGAGGGATAGAAATGGTACTGGGCCATTAATTAGTGGTTCAAAAGGTATTTAATGAAACCAGTCATAGAATTTTCAAGGAAATATTCTTAAAGTTCACTGAGTTATATCGTTAATATTCTTCGTGCACTATTAAACAATTTTAAACCATTAACGAATCTTGATTTTGCTCTTTCCCCAATTACTCCTGCTCCGCGTGGTGACTGCCGCTCCTCATAAAGAAGCCTATGGCTTTTATAAATCTTTATTCTTTGATCTCTGATTCATCAACTATATGTTACTGAATTTCCCGATGGAATTTATATTCACCATCATTTTTTTTTATTTCGTGTATCATCTCATGATCGACCTTGTCGAAAGATTATTGCGAAATGTTATCTCTCAGTGCGTTCGTTCACTTGGGCAATGCACATCGTGGGTTATGTGGCGAAATCAAGTTTCATGAGGCGTTGCGGGCGAAGCGATCGGGGTTTGGGGTGGTTCGCTTCGTTTGGTTTCGAGGTTTGATAATTTATATAGAAAAATGATACCCCTCCCTTGGGATAATTCAATTCATTATCATTATGCATTATTATTATTATTATTATCATTATTATTATTATTGTAGGACTTCTGGGAAGAAGTTTAGAAAATATATTTATGAAAATGTAGACTTGGAAATCAAAAGCAGTTCATAAAATCATCAGGAACATATTACAGGGTATATCAAGGGATGAGATAATAATATATTTCTATGTTTAATGGTATTCTCTATATGTACAGTAATGACTCCATTCGCCTTACTGGCTGGCCGACCTGCTTGCAGTCGTTCTTGGTACGATTACCGTCATTCTGGGGTTATCGTCAGTGGCAATCAGCTAGTGATTCTTGGAAAACTTGATCTTGTAAATTTCATCCGTCATTTCTTTCTTTACATGCATTTTCGATTATATTCGCATCCTTTTCTCTGCCTGGGCTACTACCCGTTTGTTACTGTTTTTGCATGTCTTTCCGATTTAAATACCTTTTGTATTACCACTCTTTCATTTGAGACAGATCGTCTATTAACAACGTCTTATATTAATCATCATTTCTAAAAGACCTGTAGGCTTACCCTTTCTGGGGATGAAATCTTATAAATTCGAGGCGATCACCGAGTACATTCAGTAACTGGTGTATGATAACTGAAGGAATGTATAAAATGGATGGGTGCTTAATGTGAAGATTATCTTAGTCCTTGAGAATTTTTATAATAAAACAAAGTGTAATTGTTTGTTCTATTGCATGAATAGGTTGCATGGACCCTTAGGAAAACCATATTCAAAACGTGACAAATTTGATAATTTTGAAATTGTGTCATTCACACCTTTGACCAAATCTGATGCCAGAAATTAATTCCTTCAGATCACGTTCCTTTTAGCAATACTTATATTTTGATATTAGAAATCAAATATTATTAGTTCACGATATATTGAAGGAAATGTGTGCAAAGTCGAATTTTCATTTGATAATGATTTTCAATTCCGGGCTTGTTTCCGCAAAGTTAAAACTTAGGGCAAAAACTCGTAGAGACAAACTTGTGCAGAATATAATTCTCCATCCTTTTGGTGCCTATACCCCTTACCTGTCCGATGCGCTGATGTAGAGGAAAATGAGAAAATGTGGAAATTTGTGCCGCCCAGAAAGGTTAAGTGTGAATTTCACAATTTCAAAATGGCTAAATTTGTCCCATATGGTGTTCTACGGGTCCTTATAGCATGCCCAATGCAACAGAACAGCTGGTGCGTAAAAACCTCCCTTGTGAATGTGCAGCCTCTTTCTCAAGACTTCTGCAGCGCCTCCTCTAGATCACCCATGTCAAATGGAGCCCTTGTGGTCAAAGGTAAAACTGTTGAACAATACTTCTTAAAATGTGCGTTGCGACACACAAATGTATCGTACGATATATTACAAATGTGTATTTCTAGTCTTTAAATCCATCGTCTTTAAAGTCTGAAGCGTTGAAAATGTATAAAGTTAACCCAAGTTGACCTAACGTAAAGTCTGTATATTTTAATGGATTATAATACGTGTATATATGTTTACTACATTCGCATTTGTGTACTGATGGAGCAACGAGCTGGTAGTTTGTAAATGTCTCAAGATATATTTTTAGTGTATCGCCAACCTAAGAGGATCGAGAACCAATAGGGCAGGAGACCCTAGAGCAGGATTCTTAACCTGGGGTCAGTGGATGGGATAGTGACTGACGGGCAGCAGTTGGGGAGCAGGGGAAACCCGCTCCGCCCGTATGTGGATACCGGGGCCCGTAGTCTGCAGCAGTAGTGGGGAAGGTGGCAGAGGTAACACTCATCCCGACCAAGTCGGCATGCTTCTTCCCTGGCCTCACGTAAAGTGAGGCCAAGTTTGAATCCGAGGACTGCTATAGGTCGAGCTTATAGGTCGGGCAGCCCCTTTAATATACAAACCACCACAATTGACACACGTACGTTACTATGCAGGGCAGTTTGAACGATCATGGCCAAGTAAGCCTGGAGTATGTGGGGAAGAGAAATGGTTCACCCCTCAGGGTCCCCATGAAGGATAAGGACTAGATAACTAAACAAGGGAATACTATACCCATGGCTCCCTCAGTCCGTTCAGGACTGACCCAAAGCCAGTCTTTTCTCCTGTAATAGTGAAAAGGGTAAAGGGGGTGTGGGTTAGTTGATGATTATGTGGGCTACACATCAGAAGTGGTATAACAGTTCAAGAAGGTAGGGATTAACAAGGGTGATTAGATCAAAGTTGTCAGAGGGATAAATGTGGGATTTTGAAAGGATGTCCGTAGGGTAAGGTAGGGAATAGCACAGAGGGAAGGGGGTTAATTAGATCTAGGGAATCCAGGGAAGGGTGTTGGTGTAACAAAGGATCACCTCCGTATCCAGGGGGAAGTCGAAGGGATAATGAGGAAGCAGGGGGATTAGGATGCGTTGGTAGACAGTGGGAGGACTGGGTGTAGGGGAAACATGAGTAGGAGAGGGATGAATGTCAGCTTCAGTTTCAGTGTAGAAGGGAGCAAATAGATTGGAGGATGGGTGAGGTAAGAGCATGTTATCTTGAGTCATGATTAGATAGTTTTGAATATCTTTGAACGTTTCTCAAGTGGAGTTGGTTGGGGAGGCCTGAGAAATTAAGGTTTTCTTCTGAGGAAGAGAAGGGGGAACAGACGTTTGAAGGGCGGAGGAAAAGGATAATGAAGGAGAGGATGGGATAGCAGAGGAGAGGGTAGAGCGTTTACCTTGTCTTGTGCGATGAGTTGAGCGAGGAGAAAGAGGGCTAGGTACCAGGGAAGTAGAGACTGGAGTGTCTGGAATAATGGTGGAGATTGGAGTGTCTGGATTTAGAATGGCAAAAGAATTAGACTGGGAGAGGATGGGGTAGAAATGGATGAGGAAGAGATACTGGGGGAAAATCGATCCCATTTCGCTGGGCTAAACAGTATTTGCGATGTTTCTGGAGGTAAGGGTAGTAGAAGGACGGGGGCGTCTGGAAAATGATGTAGTTTTGAATTAGATAATACTGCGTCTAGCAATCTTGCGGACCTGCGTTCAAATCCCTCGCCGCCAGTGGATGGCCATTCCTTACACACAGGGAGTAATTTGGAAGCAAAATAAAACAGGCAGCATGTCACACCAACAATATCCATTGTAACAAATGGAATAAAACTAAATGATCAAATTATACAAAAATATATTATTCATCTACTACCCATCCTTCTTTATTGCGGGAGGAAGATGGAGTGGTGTCGAGTGAGGTAGAAAAAGGAGAAGACTGTGGAGGATGGGGAAATTGGGTGGGGGTGTAGTGAAAGAGGTAGGAATGTTTTCTGAAGGTTGGGTAATGACCTGAGTGGGTGTCTTGGATTGGACTGAGGCTAGACAGCAGGTATCGATGAGGGAGTGGTGGTGAATAGTAAATAGTAGTTAATGTAGTAGTAGTAGTAGTAGTAGTAGTAGTAGTAGTAGTAGTAGTAGTAGTAGTAGTAGTAGTAGTAGTAGTAGTAGTAGTAGTAGTAGTAGTAGTAGTAGTAGTAGTAGTAGTAGTAGTAGTAGTAGTAGTAGTAGTAGTAGTAGTAGTAGTAGTAGTAGTAGTAGTAGTAGTAGTAGTAGTAGTAGTAGTAGTAGTAGTAGTAGTAGTAGTAGTAGTAGTAGTAGTAGTAGTAGTAGTAGTAGTAGTAGTAGTAGTAGTAGTAGTAGTAGTAGTAGTAGTAGTAGTAGTAGTAGTAGTAGTAGTAGTAGTAGTAGTAGTAGTAGT